TAAACCCAGATGCACTGATCCTGATAGAAAAGAAAGTTGGAAGTAGCCTTGAACATAGTGTCCTAGGAGACTGTTTCATGAATAAAACACCAGTAGCGGGCTGTTCTTCCAAAGGTTCTGAGTTCTATTCCCAGCAACCACATGGTGGCTCACAACCACCTGTAATGAGATCTGGTGCCATCTTTTGGCCTGCAGAATATATATATATAACAACAACAACAAAAAAAAAACCCACCAGTAGCACAGATACTAAGATAGGCAATTAATAAATGGGACCTCATGAAACTGAAAGGCTTTTGTAAGGCAAAGGATACTGTCAATAGGACAAAATGGCAGCTTACAGAATGGGAGAAGATCTTCACCAGCCCTACATCCACCATAGGGCTAATCTATAAAATATATAAAGAACTCAAGAAACTAGCCATTAAAAAAACCTCAATAATCTAATTAAAAAATGGGGTACAGACTTGAACAGGGAATTCTCAACAGAAAAATCTCAAATAAAAGAGAAACACTTAAAGAAATGTTCAACATCCTTAGCCATCAGGAAAATGCAAAATGGCTCTGAGATTCTATCTTACACCTGTGAGAATGGCTAAGGTCAAAACCACTTCAGTTAATGCTGAAAAGGATTTGGAGCAAGGGGAACACTCCTCTATTGCTGTGCACTCTATTGGGAGTGCAAACTTGTAAAGCCTCTTTGGAAGTAAGTGTGGCAGTTTCTCAGAAAACTGGGAATCAATCTACCACAAAACTCACCTAAACCACTCCTGGACATATATCCAAAGGATGCTCAATCATATCACAAGGACACTTGCTCAACTATGTTCATAACAGCTTTATTCATAATAGCCAGAACTTGGAAACAAACTAGATGTCTCTCAACCAAAGAATAGGTAAAGAAAATGTACATTTATACAAAGTAATATTACTTAGCTGCTAGAAAAAAAAGACACAATGAAATTTGCAGGAAAATGTATGGAACTAAAAAAAACCATTTTGTGTGAGGCAACTCAGATCCAGAAAGACAAACATAGCATGTACTCACTCATAAGTGGATTTTAGCTGTAAAGTAAAGGATAGCCATGGTACAATCCACAGATCCAGAGAGGGTAGGTAGCAAGGAGGGCCTAAGTGGGGGATGCATGAAATCTCCCTGGGAAGGGGAAATAGAGGAGAGCTCCTGGTGGACTGTGGGTGGGTAGGCATGGAAACTTGAGGGATCAGGTTGGAAGGTGGGTGGAGGGGGAGGATTCTGAGAGAGATGACTGGAAAGGGGGGGCTTTACAGAGTTGGGTAGAAGCCTGGTGTAAGGGAAATTCCCAGGAGTCTAAAAGGACAGCCATAGCTAAGACTCCTGGCAGCAGTGCATGCATAGTCTGAACTGGCCATCCCTTGTGATTGGATTGGTGAGTACCCTGGTTGTCAACAGAGAGCCTTCATGCCTTCATCCCGTGACTTATGAGGCAGATTCAGAGACCCAAGGCCAAACATTGGGCGGATCTCAGGGAGTCTTGCTGAGGAGAGGGAAGAGGGATTGTAGGAGCCAGGGAGGTCAGAGACATCATAGGAAAACTCACAGAAATGGCTTGCCTGGCTTGTGGAAACTCAGAGAGTTTGAAGCAACAACCAGGAGCCTTCATGGGACTGACTTAGGCCCTCTGCATATATAT